TAACTGAATGTTATCAATTCAGGAGGAGAGGGTGTCTATGTTGATGTCCTTAATATTCCTAAAAGTGATGAGCCAGGTTGGTTTGGTATTAAAAAGCTGGGTAATAATATTGAAAAAAATGAAATAGTGATGAATGATGTGGAGATCATCAGATGCACAGTTAAGAGGGGTAGACCAGAGCAGCACAGCAGATCCAGGCAGTGTCCCTTGGAATGAGTTGCACAGTTGATGGGTTGATTAAGTACAAGGCTGTCCAAACAAGATGTGAAGTCTGGTGAGGAGAAGATCTCTATTGTCCATGTGAACATTAAAATCTCCAAGCACTATTACTTTTGATGAGAGTGTAGATAAATGAGGGAATAATACTGAGACTTAGGGGGGCGGTAGACTAATGCAATGGTTGTGGAGTAGGTCCATGCAGTTTAAACACCAAATACTCAAAAGACTTTCCACTTTCTGATAATTTATCGCGACCTCCTCCTCGAGAGTTGCATGGTTTTCAGAGGTAAACAAGCCGTGAAGGAGTAGCGTTGTTGACTTTGGAGAAATCAACTGGTTGTTGCCAAGTTTCCTAGAGGCACTTGAAGTCGATTCCATGGTCCTTGATGAGATTGTGAATGAAATGACCCTTTCTAGTGAGAGAGCGAACGTTGAGAAGGCCGAAGTTGACGGTAGTGTTGTCACATCCATGAGTAGCATTAGCTGTTCTGGTGAGGCTGGCTAACGAGGGGTGATAGGCAGCCCATTGGCATGAATTCCTGTGAGGATGACAATGAGTTGAGTTTTGGTAGTTAAAAGTGGATGTATCTCCAATGGGGAAGATGAAACATGTCTGGATCAAGCTGCAGTGAAGCCGGTGGAGATCTATACAACTTGGCAAAGCGAACTTTAGTGGAATATGAGCGTTGAACAAGTTTACATTGAATTAGGCCATGTCTAGCACAGAGCAAGGATTTATGAGTGAGCCATAAGATTTTGCATCCAAAGGATGGTCTGTCCAAGGCCATCACCCAAAGTGATTTAATTGAGTCTAGTGTCTGCAGATTAAGCAAGGTAGTTTGGTTGTAAATAGAGGAAAAAGCTCCTTTCAATTTACAAGTTGGATTCAAAAACACATCCAAAGCAGACTCTCCGGGAAGATTAGGAAAAGGTAGGTGGGTAGCACAGACAAAACTACGTACTTGTAAATATCTAAACATTGGTGGCGTGGAAGACAAAACTTGTCAGTCATTTGTTGGATGGAGGCAAACGCTTTTCTTTCCATAACAGAAATATACTATCCACTAGCGAGGGCTGAAAAACATGATTGGCAGCTATAGGGGCATGAACAGAAGATGCCTGCAGACAGTGGCGGTTCTACATCGAATTACTACCCGGGCGAGGCCCCCTTTGAGCGCCCCCCCAACCGCCCCCCCACCACCACCACCACCACACCACACCACCTGCACGAACACACGCATGTTTTCTACAAACAGGCATGTTTTATTAGAACGACTATTGAAAATTCATTTTTCTAAGTTGCACATATTTACATTAATTACTATGAAGTTGTCAGAATGTAAAGCAATATACATTATATACTGTATCAAAATATATAGAATCAAATATACAAAAACAAACAATAACTAAATATTAAGAATAAATGAACACAATAGATAATAAATATTCTAAATAGCAAAAATATTTCACACATAACAAACTAAAGATAATCACTACAGCATTGCACTTACAACAGAAAACACAAACTTAAATTAAAACCTAACCTTGATGCAACGTCATCAATAATGTCATCATATGAAATCTGCTGCCCTACTGAGTGATTGATACTAATCAGAGCCAGGTTAGTGAGCCGCCCCTGAAACATAGGTGACCTCAGGTATGACTTGATCAAGTTTTGAAAAGCTCCTCTCAGCTTGAGCCACAGTGACTGGCAGAGCAGTCCAAAAGTTGGGGTAGATCTCCAATAGATCTCATGATCCATAATATTTTAGAATTGCCTCTGAAATTGTAATTTAAACTGACATAACAAACTGTAGACTACCAAAAATGCCAACTTTTACAGAACAAATCATGTAAAAATAATCAGTGCAGCCATCTGCAATAAATAAACAGGATAGTTAGTGGTGACTGGGGTGTTTTCTTCTGCTTGTACAGTTGTTTTATTTATTATTATGTGAACATGATCAACATGTGTTTGTTGTTGTTCAGGCAGGCCACAGGCTGCAGTGAGCATTTAACAAATCTTGAATCAGTAAAAAACGATTCAAGGACTTTTTTCGAACCATTTGAATATTCGTTTCAATATTTCAGCCCTATTAGCTCTGCTAGCAATTAGCTGACCGCATTTAACTGTTAAAATCCCAGTTAACTGGTTCAAAAAATTGAAAACATGCATCATGAGAGCTACATACCTTTATCTTTCTCCTCTTTTTTCCTTTTTCCCCCTGAATGGGGCACCTGGTGGTTTTAGCCTTTTTATGTTCATCTCTTCTGTTTTGCTCTTAACTCAATAAGTTTCCTTTAGTCAGGACTAAACTATTTGACCTTGATGGGGGGGGGGTGACCACAAAATCGTTTTGTTTTTCCTTTTTTTATTCGGCCATTTCACACAATTCAGAGAAACCTGAAAGAATGATAGGCCTGTGTTTATGATATTATGAATGAAATATGGAAGAACGTTAAGATGTGATTGACTTTAGCCATGTTAATACAGTTGATTCAGCCCCTGCACGCTCATTTCATTTGGGAAAGACGCAGAGGTGAATTCCCCCGCCGCACCCCTCCCCTTCCTGTTCTTCATAGACACACGGTGCACGTGAACGTTCTCAGTCAGCAGGAGCGCCTGCAGCTGCAGGGTGCGCCAACTTGCAGTTTCCAATCCAGACACTGTCATATGACAGATAATAGAAAACCTCGGTGCGGCGCAGATTTCCTTTTTTTTTTTTTTTACTCAGCGCTTGTGCGCCCCTTTTGTGTCATGAAAAAATGCCGCCCTGGGCAACTGCCCTGTCTGCCCGTGCCTAAAACCGCTACTGCCTGCAGACCATAGTGGTGCCTGAATTGTGCCTAAACCCTGAGAGATGCTTTAACTAAACAATTATATGTGTAAGATTTGGTTGAGGATTGTAATGGAAAATGTAACATGGCGGACAAAGATGTAGGTTTCACAGAATTAGCCTGTATAGTCAACCAGTCGGGTGCAGACAAACCCTGTCTGAAGCCGGAGCTTAAATAGTCTAATGTTTGAGGCCCAGTAGTTATATCTAAAACTTGGCAGAGACATCCCTCTGAGAGCTTTAGGTCTTTGTAGAAACTAAGTGCGTATGCAAGGGACTTTGCCATCCCAGAGAAACTCAAGAATAACAAAAAAAATAAAAAAAAGCCAGTGAAAGAAAGATAGGGATGCACTGAAATAGGTAGGAAAAGCACGGGAGGACATTAATTTTGATACAACTAATCGAGGCAACCAAAGAGAGACAAAGCACAGTCCAATGATCAGGGTCTTCCTTAATCTGCGTCAGTAAGGGTGCGAAATTACCACCAAAAAGATTCTCATATTTGCACATGACCTGGATCCCCAAGTAAGTAAAACAGTGACCAGCGACCTGTGTTTAATGGGTAACTATTGGCAGAGGTATTCAAAGGGAGAGGTTCACTCCGAAAATAGTCAGATTGGGTGTTATGCTTCAATCAGGACAAATAAGGATCTGACTATAGTAGTTTATCCAGGACAGGACGTTCTCCCCAAAACCAAAATGTCTTAATTAAAAATATAAATACGACCACTCCACCCTAGGGGCTGCATGACTTAATTTTTTTAAAAGTCGACTGTCAAGTAATGAAAATCTAGTCGAGTTTGACTAGTCGATGGCGTCATACACCTGAAGTGGGTAAGTTCGCTGGAGTCTTTGACAATTAAAATTGCGCCCACATTTTCTAAGTTAAACACATTTCTTTTAACAATGGTAGTTTCTGCTTCAGCCCCCCCCCCCCCCCCCCCCCCCCCCGCGCAGCGGCCGCAAACTCTCTGATGCGCCTGCAGCCTCTCGGAGTTCCTGCTGCTCTAAACATTAAAATAATGATTTCATTTTCTGTTCCTCACTTCTGATTGATTACCTTCAATGGTGTCTTTGTTGCAACCACCAGGTACAAAAACTAACTTGTTTTTATTTGACTATTTTTCTGTCCTGTCTGTTTATTATCTTCCTGCATCTCCTCCTCCTCAAAATAGTGCAAGGTAGCAGTTACCTCTTTGTTGTCTCAAATAATCAGTTTGGCATAGGAGAAAGAGCTCGGTCACCGGGTTCAGCTGCTACTCTCACACCAGACGGAAATGATATCTCATGATGGTGAAGCTCATTGTGCTAATTAAAGAATTTTCACACACATAATCCCACATTGGAACAATATTTTTAGTATCTAGCAATTCACTACAGTAGACAGTAACGCACATCATCCAATGTGAAATATGAGATTATCAATAGTAATAAGTTGTATATGTGTGTGTGTGTGTGTGTGTGTGTGTGTGTATACACACATATATATATATATATATATATGTTTATATAACTCGACTAAATAAAAATAAATAAAGATACAAGGCTAATTAGCTTGTTTCGACAAGCTTCAAAAGAGTTTCATATTGCACAAACAGTTTCTCTGCCATCCATCACGGTGAAGGAGGCAGTCCCATGACTGGGATGAAGTCACGTGCAAAGTTTTAAAATTATGTTATGCGTTCAAACAGGATGAAAAATCAGCAACAGTAGTTTATGTCAGGTGAAAGGGTTCAACGATGGATTTTAATTCGTTTCTGCTGTGATTTCCTTTAGAAACTGGCCTGTAACCGACAATCTTAATATCTTCCTTGAGTTTCTTACTGGGCAGCTTTTAAATTCTAAATGGAACAAAATTCAAAAGAAGTGGATATTTTTGCCCCGAGTGACTACTGAGTGAATTTCTCTTTTGCAACTGATGTTTTTTCTGCTTGTATGAGACAGGGATGAACTTTTCCGTCAGAGTCTGTCTCGACTGAAAGAGCAGGTGGTCAAAGCCAACACTCTGGTACGAGAGGCCAACTTTTTGGCGGAGGAGATGAAAAAGCTCATTGACTATCAGGTCACCCTTCAGATTCCTGCAGCCAACCTCAGTGCCAACTGCAAGGTCAGACCTCTGGGTCTTACCCCCTAAGAAAGCAAATTCAGAAACCGTAAACACAGTTCTGCAGATTCTAATATCCTTCAATTCTCAACGTAGCGCGGAGCAATAGTGAGCGAGCCAGCCGTTCAGGTGCGGAGGAAAGGGAAGGGGACTCAGGTGTGGACCATGGAGCAGCTGGAGAACAAATTGGTGGACATGAGAGACTACTACAGAAACTGGAAAGAAGGCAGAGAGGAAATGGTGAGAAACAGGACAAACAAGATGAACAGACACCTGAGGAAGAAACAAACATTAACTTTGCTTGTTTCAGCTTAACAAATCAAACAGCAAACGCAGCGATCCGTTCCATGAGGCCCTCGACAACCACAACCTAATCGGCGTGGCTAACATTTTCCTAGAGTGCCTTTTTCATGATGTCAAGCTGCAATATGCTGTTCCAATCATCAGCCAACAGGGAGAGGTCAGGGCATGTTTAAATACGAGCACACCTATGGTATTTGGAACATTCTGGATATTTACATACTCTCTTTGTGCACAGGTAGCAGGCAGGTTACATGTGGAGCTGCAGCGAGTTAGTGGAGCTGCACCAGAGCATCTTTGTGGAGGAGATGACTCCTCAGAGCACTCCAGTCAAAGCAGCTGCTGTGAGGTCACGGACACCAACGGAGAGACTGTTCAGACAACAAAGAGGCTCACCTGCAGGGTAATAAAACACCTGTCGGGGTTATTACTTAGGTTACCTTTCTGTATGATCTCCATCCTGAGTTTTTGTCTCATTCTTGTAGGTGAGAATAAAAGAGGCCACAGGGCTGCCGCTCAGCCTGTCCAACTTTGTCTTCTGTCAGTACACCTTCTGGGGGTACGGCGAGCCCGCTGTAGCTCCGCCCATCATCAGCCCTGACAGACCTTGCCCTCAAAGCCCTGATGCTCAGTTCACTGTCAAGTTTGATCACTGCAGGGTAAAAAAACAAATTCACCAGCAGCTGTGATGATTGTTTTCACCATAATTTTGACAGATTGAATTTAAATGATTGTAACTTTGATTCCAAACAACCATCTTTATGCTGACTCTTCTTTATCCAGGAGTACATGGTGCATGTGTCAGAGGAGTTTTTAGAGTTTATGTCAGATGGAGCCTTGGCCATAGAAGTGTGGGGTCATCGTTGTGCTGGGAACGGTCCCTGGGAGCTAGATGCTGTAGAAGCTAAGACCCAAACGCTGCAAGACAGGTTTCACCCGCTTCCCGTTTCTCTGCAAACCTGGAGAAAAACACAGCTATTCCTTACTTATCCTTGTTTTTCCATGGTTAAAGGTGGAGTGAGGTGTCACGCAGGGTCGAGTTGTGTGTCTCCATCCAGGAGCTGAATGAACAGGGAGAATACGCACCTGTGGAGCTGCAGCCTACAAAAGACGTCAGCACAGGAGGTGTCTTCCAACTTCGACAGGTAAGATGACAAGAGAGACAATTCTGTTATTCAGCCTGTCTGAGCTGCTTGTAATTGTGTTTGTGTTTGCAGGGCCATTCCAGGAGGCTGCAGGTGTGGGTGAAACCAGTCCAGAACTCAGGCACGCTGCCTCTGCTGGTGGAGGCGGTTCTGTCTGTCGCCATCGGCTGCGTGTCGGCTCGCTCCACTAAACTACAGAGGCCACTGGACAGCTACCAGGTCAGTGAAACACACACAGATAGCCTTAAATAAAGGGATGTATGATATATTGGCATCAATATCGATATAGGCTGATGTTGATAGTTTTTAATATTTTGGTATCAGTCCAATAAGTAAAACTGGGCTGACATTGACAACCAAAAATATTTACATCTAATTGCCATTTGTGTACCTGTTTCAGAGGGTGAAGTGGTTGATACATTATTGTTCAGTCATGTGGCAGTGATGTGTGTGTGTGTGTGTGTGTGTGTGTGTGTGTGTGTGTGTGTGTGTGTGTGTGTGTGTGTGTGTGTGTGTGTGTGTGTGTGTGTGTGTGTGTGTGTTTATAGTGGAAATACACAGAACAAAAATGTAAACACTTTTTTTTCATGAGCTGAACTCAAACATCTGACAATGTGAAAGACCCATGCCTCTCAAATTCTCTGTCTACATGTGTGTTAGAGAGCACCTTTCCTTTACCGAGATCCCACCTCACAGGTGTGGCACATCAAGCGGCTGATTAGACAGCATGAATAATGTACAGATGTGCCATATATATATTGTTACACCCCTCCAGGTCTAGGAATTACCAGGAGGGGCAACACAAGTGTGGTGGGAGCAAACACGAGGACAGATGAAAAGTTAAAAAGGAGTTTATTAACTAAAGGTGTCCCTGACAGGTATAAATAAGGACGATGAAATAAAAATGCCAGCGGTCTGATTAAATCTAATATACTAAAGCTTGGTTTATGCTTGACGCATTTACTTTCCGCTTGGTGATGCGGCTCGTGGATGGAACGCGCTTCACAACTCGCAGCGTTTATAGGTTCATGCGGCTTGTCTCTGCCGTGAGCCAATATTCTCCCAAACTGTAGGGGGCAGCATGGAGCTCTACGGCATGCATCCAACACTACACCATAGTAGAAGTAGAAACCCCCACCCCCTTCCCCCCTTCGCCCCACCTTTTGTCTTTTCCTTTCTCTTTCACCTCTGTCTCTGTGTCTGGTCAGAATTACAAAGCATTCAAAAACAATAACAATAAAGTTTAAGTATCAGGCGTGACATTAAAAGCAGACGCTTTGATGCTCCACCTGAGAGTAAATCTGTAAGGCTTGTTACCAGCATTCAGACATCAATTCTGTTTGCTTCACAGCCAGACAGGACACAGTAAAAAAAAGAAATGACTGTTGTTTACAACATGGCATTCCAGCATTTTTAACAGCGTCCTCGTCTTTTCCGACAGTGCGAGCTATTTCTCTCCAAGAATTATTAACAACATGTTGATCACGGTGATCTCTGAGAGCTGAATCATACAAATGTCTGTATTTACGAACCTCTGGCACACTAGTTCTTGCCGGTCCGCCATGTTTTTCCGCGTCCGACCGTCCGCGTGGTTAGAAATTTTCCTAGGTGTGCGATGCGGAAATTTTGGGCCATGTGGAGACGCGGTGGAGGGACGTGGTTGTTAAAATGACGCAATTTTGCCGTGCGGACCTCGCGGACGCGTCAAGCATAAACCAACCTTAAGTATAAGTCTCAAGGTCTGGGTAAGGCCCCACACTCGTACGATACCCTGCCCGTGGGTAAGATTCCTCCTTCTGGTCCCGTGTTACTCCAGAAGTGGCAGACGTCTCACGCTCTCCCTTTTCTCTCTCTCTTTCTGGAAGCCGGTGGTTCTCCTCCAGGAAAGATCTCTGTGTCGGTATAAAAATGCAAGTCTCTAGTTCTCTCGGTTTCCCTCTGGTTGTGTCAAAAACGCGATCTCAGGTTTTCCCCGTTTCATCTCTCGTGTCTGGACTCTCTGTGTCGTTCCTCTGCTGCTTCTGTGCATTCGTTCTCTGGTTGACGTCCCTGTGCTGCTCCTGTGTGCTGCTGCTCTTCTGTCGCTCTCCTTTCCTCCTTCATAAGGCGTCTGATGAGTGCTGATTATCCGCAGCTGATGTCAGCGGGCCGGCGGGAAGGGTGCGTCTCAGCGTGCCTCTCTCCACGGTGCTGATCCTCTAGATCTCAGCGGGGCCAGAGCGAGGAGCTGTCCACGGTGTAGTGGGTAAACAGAGCTCAGGAACACAGAGGTCATGACACCCCCCTCCTAAAAAGAAAAAGAGGCCGGGCTTAACATCAATAAAAATCATGAAGCCTTTTTTGAACTAAGAATAATAAATGACCGGTTGAGTTCTGAGTCGTGGCGACTTATCCGTCTTTCTGTTCACTTCCATAACTGCTGAACAGGGAGCTGTCCAAAGTGATTCCCGCTATCTGCCTAACAAAACTGGCTAACTGTCCTGATCTTCATGAGGTGTAAAGGCGGGCCGATTAAGCACATGTGCAGAACACATACTAGCCAGCGACAAGGAAGGGTGGCCCATTGACAAGCCCGTCCCTGCTCATCCTGGGGTGCTCCCGAGATGGTAGAATTTACCAACACTAACCGTTTTGACCCCAACACTAACAAAACAAAACAGGCAATACCCCAAAGGGGATATTCCTCTAAAAGCTACCAGGGAACCACAATGCACATACTTTAAAACGGGACAGTGCCATAAAAAGTCTAAAAGTCCAACTCCTGTTGGGATAAACTCACTAAAAGGCCCGAGACAGACTATCTGCCACTATGTTGTCTTTGCCTTGTTTGTGTTAAATTTGTAAATTATAATCTTGTACCGGTAGTGCGCATCTCATCAGCCTCTGTTTTTTATTATACATCCTTGACAGGAAGACCAGAGGGTTGTGATCTGTGTATACCCGTATGGGGTTGCTTCCAGGGTAGAGGCAAACTTCAAAATGTTGGATAGCTAGTACTAGAGCTAAGGTTTCCTTCTCAACTGTGGAATAGTGTAACTGGTACTTAGCAAACTTCTTGGAAAAATAAGAGACAGGATGGTCCAAAGCAGCATCATCTTCTTGAAGTAGAACTGCTCCCATTCCAACATCACTGGCATCTATTTCCTGTTTAAAGGGCGTGTGAGGTCCGGTGCTTGTAAAACTGGAGCCGTACTTAAAAGCTGTTTAAAGTTCTCAAAGGCTCCTTGGGCTGCTACGGTCCAGTTGAACGATACCTGTGGACTCAACAGATCAGTTAGAGGTGAAGCAACTACAGCGAAGTTATTGCAAAAGCATCTGTAATATCCCACCATTCCTATAAAACGCCTAAGTTCTTTCCGAGTGGTGGGAGCAGGAAACTCTGTTATTGCCTGAATTTTATTTTTTAACATACGGACAGCCGTCTGACTTCCTTCCCGAGATAGGTTACTGTGGCCTTCACAAAATCCATCTTAGACAGGTTTACTGTGAGATTAGCAGTGTCTAATCGGCTTAACAACTCTTTTAAGGTAGCAATATGCTCATTCCAGGTTGACGTGTGTACCACAATATCATCCAAATAGGCATTGCAATGCTCCATACCGGAAATCACTGTATTTATTAACCGTTGAAATGTAGCAGGGGCATTACTCATACCAAATGGCATGACTGTGTACTCTAAAAATTCATCTGGGGTTACAAAAGCAGAAGCCTCCATAGCAGCTTCAGTTAGCCAGTAGTCTTTTAACAGATCCAGTTTAGTAACAAATCTAGAGTTTTCCACACTATCCACACAGTCATAAACTCGAGGTAAAGGATAGGTATCTGGTATGGTTCCAGTAATCCGTGATGAAATGAGGGGTGCCATCTGGTTTTTGTTCCACTAAACATGGAGAGCTCCACGGACTGTGGCTGGGCTTCGCTAATCCATGTCTAATCAAATAGTCTGTTTCCTGCTTCATTAATTTTCTTTTTAAGGGATTTGTACGATATGGGTGTTGTTTAATAGGTTTGTCCCCGGTGGTAACAACATCATGCTCGATGAGATGGGTTCTAGATGGAATGTCAGAAAAGTGTCAAATAGGCATTAATCAAGTCCAAAAACTCATGTTTGACGTTGGGTTCCAAATAATCAAGTATCATTTGGAGCTGTGCCAATACTTGCGAGTTTTCTAGTCGTGGACCAACACACTTATCCAGTTGAGGTGGAATTTCCTCCTCTGGGATCGGCTCTGAAGCATTGGCTGGGCACACCTTTACCTCAGATGATGGTTCTGCAGATCTCAAAGGAGAGTGATATTGTTTAAGCATGTTAATGTGACATACACGTTCTTTCCGCCTGCGATCAGGCGTCTGGATGAGATAAGTAGTGTTAGTTTTCTAACGACTGGAAAAGGACCTGTAAACTTGACCGAGAGGGCATGCTCAGCCACAGGGTTTAAAATCAACACCATATCTCCAGGGGAGAAGTCACACGGTTCAGCTCTCTTATCAAAATTAACTTTCATCTTGCTCTGGGCCTTCTCTAGTGAGTTTCTGGCTAACTGATTAGCTTCTTTCAGTCGCCGTTGAAAACCTGCCACATAAACATTTACTTTATTTTTTGTAGAAACCGGGGTCTGCAGGATTCTTTCCTTCAATGCCAGTAGAGGCCCCCTAGGGGTGTGTCCAAACACTAATTGCGCTGGGCTAAATCCTAAGGATTCCTGTGGGGCTTCACGAGCCACAAACAACAAAAAGGGGAGCCCCTCATCCCACGATCGACCTGATGACAAATAGTGTTTGCATAACATAGCCTTCAGAGTTTGATGCCAACGCTCCAGCACTCCTTGACTCTCCGGGTGGTAGGCAGAGGAGGTCACATGTTGTATGCCTAGACTTTTGGCTACTCTCTGAAATAACTCAGACCTAAAGTTTGTTCCTTGATCTGTTTGTAGCACTCTGGGCAAACCAACGAGAGAAAAAAGATGTTAATGCCTTAACCACAGATTTTGCTGTTATGGAGGACAAAGGAATCGCCTCCGGGAAACTAGCAGTACACATAATGGTCAACAGAAACCTTTTCCCCATTTTACTGCGAGGTAGGGGGCCAACACAATCCACCACTACATAATCAAAAGCATTTCCAATCACCGGAATGGGATTGAGCAGGGCTGGTTTTGGAGGCTGGTTTGGTTTTCCCGCAATCCGGCACACATGACAGTCTCTGCAATATTTGCTGA